CCCAACTGTTTCTATGTTTCATTTGGATAGGCCACCGAATTGCACCTTTTTGTTCATATCCCTGAGATACTGAAAACTGACCATGTCATAAAGGATGATGAGAAGCTTAATTGGTAAAACCCAAAAGCAATGGCAAAAAAAAAAAAAAATGTTTTTGGTTTACCAAAGGGGGGGGGGAATAATGCAATATCTAATAGTTGTTAATGTTGTTGACAAAGGGGAATCTCAATGGGTGATCTTATTTAGGAAGGACTTTTCAGGAGCAAGCAATTATGAAATGAAAAGACAGCCAAGAGGTGAATGAATGAAAACAAACATGAGCCTTGTAGCGACTGCTGTTAATACTTGACCATTGCTTCTTGACAGGATTAATGCCTTTCTAATCACACTAATCCCCTTTGACAACTTTATCCATAATCCATCTATTTCAAAGCAATATCCAGATGGCTTCTGATGGGAAGGAATACAGGAAGATAGAGAGGCATGAGATGAATGGGCTTTGCAGTCAGCTTATTATGTTTCCCTTTCCCAGGGCTATGGTGTTTAAAGCTAACACCATTCAAAAAGAGAAGAGAGAAAAAGCTGTGTTGATAAACACAACTAGACTATGAAAGAATGAAACCAACTTACACCTAAATTTCATAGATGTAGCTTAATTACCTATGAATCGGCCGGGCAATTTTATGACTCAGTTCAAGGCACTATGTGTTGCTGCTACTTGGAGCAAGTAGATGTACAGTATTGTCCTTCCATGCACACCCTTTTTTTTGTCCTCGTTACCATTTTATAAAGGTTAGCTATCGTTGCTGAAAGCAATAAATTAGGAATAGGAGGTTTTCTTTATCAAGTCTCAATTTTGCAAATTTGTCCTGATTTCCATCTTGGGTGAACAAATATTTGAAGCCAATCTGAAAGTGCATCAGCAGCTGCTATCTTGAGTCTGGAGTTTCATATAACCTGTTCCTCCTCTACCAGATGTATTGGTTGCATTCACTTTGTTGAATATAAGCAGAAATCTTAATAACATTCCTTGTTAATTATGTTTCTTTATTAAGAATGTGTGACATGACATCCAGCACTGCAGAGGCAGACTACAGTGTGCAGTATAGAATGTTCCCTTTGTCTTTTCCTCCCTTAGATCTTCTCCAAAAGGTTCAGAGCAGACAGAAGGGGAGCTGCAAAGGAAGGAAAAATCATCTTAGGCATCTGGCTGCAAAGCCAGAGGCTGGGAGTTCAATTCCCCACTGTGCCTCCTTGGCAGGGACTGGCCTCCATGATCCATAGGGTCCCTTCCAGCTCTGCAGTTCTAGGATTATTAAGATTATCTCCCTATTTTGTTGATGGAATCTGTTCTTCAGGTGGGGTGAACAGCAAAATTTCAAGAACATAACAAACGTTATCTGGATCTCTTACTTCTTTTGTTTTTTGTGTCCTCTTAAAATGTGATGGCTGAAATCCTGATGCTTAGCATAGTTGTCTAGAGGGGTGGGGTAAAAATCAAATAAATAAATAAATAAAAAAAGAAGAAGTCACAGCCAGAGGAGGCCTGCTAATGTGGTGATCCAGCTCCTCTATAAGTTCCATTGATTCAATGGGCCTACTCTAGTAGTGACTTGCTACATGAAGCAACAGGATTTCGGCCAACGTGTCATTCCAAGCTTCAATATCCTTGTTTCCAGAACTTTTAATGATATTAGTTGGATTTTGATACTCTTTCAGTAGATATCCCTAATGAACTGCTTCTCAACTGTTAATTACTTCTGTGGACTTTCTCATTACAATTCCAACCTCATCACTACATTATCTGGTGGCATAGTAATCTTATTATAGATGATGATCTTATTAATGAGCATGCTCCAAAGACAGGACAATCTCATTATTAGACCCCTCTAGGATTTGTCACCTTGGAACTAATGTATGATTGGACATTCAGTCTCGGCCATAACACAGTAATCTCACCTCATCTATAGGACTACTGTAGATAAGTGACAGAAGTACCAGGTCATGCCATGTCTTTGACTAGTCTGAGCTCCCTGAGCCACTCATTACCTGATCATCATTTTGTCTTGTCTTAGCTGTCCTTACAAATTAGTAATCGCATCTCAACAAAGTGAAACATTTTAAATGGTTTTTGTAGGACACAATTAACCATTATGGCCCAAATCCTGTTGAATATTTGCATGCCTAGAGCCTCCTTGTCAGATTGCTTCAGTAGCTTCCACAATTCCATACAAGCAAATATTGAACAGTATATGACATATGTGCAAATGTTATATATTTAAAAGTCATGATATCTATTGCTGAACTTCCCAAAGAGATTATGGGGAAAGTACCTTCTGATTTCCTTTTCCTTGGTATTGTAAATAAATATTAGAAAACACTGTGATCTAATATGATATAGGACATCCCTACTTCTTTCTGTTGGTAAGACAGTGTTATCTCCATATTTTAAATTATCAACATTTCTTCCATAAATTTTCATTTCTCTTTCATCTGAACCTAGTCCAGCTTTCTGTGTGTATTGAACAGGTAAGGGGGGGAATGCACTCTTGTCAGATACCTTTGCCTATAGAAAACCATATTGTCTCTCCATATTCTGTCCTAACAGGAGCTTCTTGTCTACAAAACTGCATTCAGGGTTCTGACCCTACTTCTGTCACCTTTTATATTTGCTTCTCATCTGTCCTTTGCAGTTTTAAGTGTTTCTTCTGACATCCATCTAGGTTTTTCTTTTCTTTTTTTCTGCAGGAATTGTCTTTTTGCTTTCTTGTATTAATAAAAGTTGCATTTTGCTTTCCTTGCATTAATAAAAGTATAGTTTCCGAATCCTGTGATTCAAAATAACCCATTACAGTCCACTTTAGTTCGCTGACACCAAGCACTGCAGTATTTATATGTTCCATTTCTTGCTTTATGGTTTCTAGTTTACCTTGATTCATACTTCTCATGTTCCATGTTCCAATTGTTTGTGTTGTTCAGCTTAGGACTTTCTTTTTATTGTACATATCAGTCACTAGAACTTTTTTCAGATTTAATTTAGTTGCATTATGAGTGACAGTGCTATTCATACTTATCCCTTGCTGCTCTCCAGTACCTGATTAAGTGCTTTCTGACCTCAGAATCTCATCTTCCAACATGATCTCTTGTTTCATTTCGGACTGTCACATCATAGAGTTTTCAGAGTAAGGAAAGTTCCCTAGTGGTTTACCATTGCCACCTTCTGCGAGGTACTAACAAAAATTAGCTTGAGTATCACCGCTGTTGCCTCTTCCTCTAGTGTCACGTTCAGCTACCAGTGCTGCCCAGTAGCTACTGGAAATAGCCATTCTCTTCTGCTGATGCGGTCTTTACCCTTGAAGAGGGTGGATGCCTCTTAGTCTGGTGTCTCAGCTATGACCATTCCTCCTTGGGTGATTCTACTAGGAGTCTGGGCTTGTAATGGAGTCTAGCCTCCTAATGGCATTGCTCTCAGCTTCACTGACACACTCAACCCCATTCACCATGTTAGGGTGTGCATCCAAGAAGAGATCATCCAGGTAGCCACCCCATATCAGCCAGGACCCCCTATTTTTGGGCCTTCCAGTTCTGGTTTATGTAAGCATTCTGGCGCAAATTAATGCAATACTTTAATTACTTAAAATGTTAGCTGCAATGTGTGTTTTAACATTTTGACTAGATTACCCAACCAGATTTTAAGCAATAACAGTACAATTTATGTTCCCATAAACTGATGTACTGTATGCTAAACTGGCTTTCTAGAAAAGGGTTATAGTAACTCTACAAATACATACACCTACTCACACACATTTGCAGGAAAGATATAATGACATAGATTTGCTTCCAAAGCCTTTATTCTTTTCTTTTGATCTCTTCTGTTTGTTAGTTTAATTGAACAACAGATCTGCTTTTTAAAAATAGCTTACACTAAGCAGCAGTTTGGTTTTTCATGGGAAAAGGAACTATTTGAAGATTGTCTCCTTTAGAATAAATATAACTCTTGACATTTTAACTTTGGTTCACATTTTATTGTGAGTGGGATTAAGTGGGAGGGATTCTAGGAACAAAGCTAAAATACAATGAAATCTAAATTTATTTGATGGTAGTTTCCCTCGCTTATCAGAATACAATGAACTGAAAGCAAAGCCTGCAGGATTAAGGATTGGCATGCAGAGATGCAGTACATTTTCCTAATTAATTTACTGGATAACTAAAAACTGAATGCTAAATGTTTTTGCCAAATTTATGATAATGGTTAAGCTGCATTTCAGCCCGACCTCTAGATAACTTAATCAAACAGCACTGTGTTGTAAGGGAGAAACCATTTTGGCATGTATACATGACACTTGCCAGTTTGTTTTATGCATGTTAATAAGGAGATGAACTGAAAAGTATGCGTAACAGTGTTTTATCCCAATGGGGCTTTGTTTTACCTCATACAGATTTTCCTATTATATTTTAATCCATCCACACTTTCGTGGAAATTATGAAGGAAGTTAGGCTGATGCTCCTATGAATATTACGTAACTGAAGGCCAGCTTCCATTGGCCTGACCTTTCTCTCCCATAAACCACATGAGTCCAGAGTTCAGATTGGATTTCTGTTTACAGGGCATAATCAGCACCACAATGGGTTGGTCTAAGGCCTTATAGATTTCAGAATAGATCCTATGCAAGGGATGTAGCTTTTCATCCTTCCCTGGGTTTTGGGATACTCCCATAGAACACTTTCGCCATGAAATTGGCTTGCTTGGTCACAGAGTCTTCCCTCTGTAATACATAACCAATGTTTTCCTCCCCTTTTCATTTTGTTTCTAACCAGCCAACCAACAAACCAACAAACAAACCTCTAAAAATACAAGGGGACAGTGACCTGGAAAGCACTAGACTTCAAATTTCTCATCAGAGAAGATATTACTTACCTGCCCTCTCATTACATAGTAATAGAAATGATTCAATAAGCATGGGGGGGAAGGTAACATATGTTGTATTTTCTTTCAACAGTTTAATGTCTGGGCTAGCAGCGCTTGATGCGAAGACATCTAGTCGATTAGGCATCATTACAGTCACTTACTATCTCTGGACCACCTTTGTGGCTGTTGTTGTGGGAATAATTATGGTCTCCATCATCCATCCTGGTGGACTAGCCCAGAAGGAGAACACTGAGGAAAGTGGGAAGCCAATCATGAGCTCTGCTGATGCCTTGCTGGACTTAATTCGGTAACTACATTCATTATTACTCCTTGTATGAAAAAGTAAAATGTTGTGCATTCCATAACTTTGTGGATGAAATGTTTTTGGATATGTTTTAAAACTAGTGAATGCCCCTTAAACTCCATTTTAATTCCATCCTATTAAATCCTGGGATGCATAGTTTAGCAAGTGTACTTAATGCATTCCCTGAACTACGTGGAACAATTTGTAGTGCTTCACCAAATTACATATTCTAGGAGTGGATGGAGCCATGAAAAAGTGATATCAAACTGCCACAACTGTATAGTGTAGATATACTGCAAGATTTTCTTGCTCCCATGGCTACCACTCATTGTTGTGACCTTAATAGCCTATGGAGAGAAGTGCAGTGAGCAGTTTATTATATGTTGTAATTCTTGGGGGGGGGGATACAGGTGATGCACAGTCTGTAACCAGGGCAACCAAGTTGATCATGTGTGGGAAGAGGGAAGTGGCACATATTTGGCCATCACAAAAGAAACATCAGACTACAGTGGACCTCTGCTAAGGACTTCTTTTTCACATATTCACCTATTTATACATATATCAGTATATGAATATATGTTTCCTAATGGTTTTCAATTCTCTGTGGCTTTAAAACTGGAAGATGTTAATGACTACAAGTCCTTCTCCTGCTCCTATTCCTACCTCTGAGTTCACTTTTATTTGCAATATTCATTTGGTTAAGAGATCTCTTAAGCATTCTATTTCTGTTTTGGCAGATCTGCCTATTTTTTCCACTCATGAATCTCATTCAGTGAATTGTTACAAATGTATAAAAAAATTGCACTTTGAGTTATTAGCATCTGTATCTGGCTTTGCTTATAGTATGGTTTCACTGCTTGCTGGAACGTCCTTTTAAAGTCCAGAACATTGCTAAAATTTAATGGTATTTGTACAATTTTAATGACATTTTCAAAATCACATTGAATATCATTTGACATAAAAGCATTATATATCTTTTTTAAAAATTGAATTGAATCCAAGCATAATAGTGGCTGAAATCCTTTTGCTTAGTGTAGCAAGTTACAGTAGAGTAACCCATTGAATCAATGGGGATTTGGTGAGTCAACTCCTCCATATGTTCTATTGATTTAAATGGGCCTGCTCTAGTTGCAACTTCCTTTAGCATAGAAACTCACAACTAGACTAGGCTTATTTAAATAAATATGGAGGAGTTGACACACCAAATCCCCACTGATTCGATGGGCCTACTTTAATTACTGTGTAAAGCAACAGGGTGTCAGCCACTTTTTGGTCTCTGTCCAGCTTCTTTTTACCCAGTACTGGATTGATGCATTCCTTATACTGTATTTAACTACCTTGGCATTTATCTTAAGGTAACTTCCATGTAATTCTGTTTCTTTTAAAGTTTACTCAAAAATGTTGTAACTTTCTGCGGTATATGAATTCCATGTGATACCTGTGCATTTATTTCTACAGAGCATTGGTCTCCATCCATACCTCTTTCATCTTTTGATTTTCTTTTCAATGAATTACGGTAGCTTTTTGCATCAATAGAAATTAGTCATTATTTCTCCAATCTAGCTGTTTTTACCTCCAATGCTGAACATTTTTGATAGGTACTAAATAGGTTGTGCAGTATTCTCTGAATTATAATGTTCTGAGGTTTAAGGTTAGGGTTAGAGTTGTGGCCAAGGTTAATGGAAATATACCTCTCTCTCTCTCTCTCTCTCTCTCCTCTCTATGTATCTATCTATCTATCTATCTATCTATCTATCTATCTATCTATCTTCTTTTCTTTTCTTTTCTTTTCTTTCCTTGTTAAGACATCACATTGGCTGGAAAAGAACTACCCCAATGGCAGAAATAAGCACATTTTGGAGATTTTTTTCCCAGGATAGTGTTTTTTTAATGCATGAATAGCAACAACTGTAGGCGGCAAGGGGCTGTCAGTCTGAGGCATTGTTTTCAACTGTTGACTGGGATGCACAATGCTGGTCCTATTTCACTTCAGCAACACAATGTGATTCTAGGGGATTAAAATGTTCCATTCTGACGTATGAGGATTAAGTATATGTATATGCACTCATTTGACTTTCAAGTAGGCCATGCATGTTAAAACATATTAAGACTGTGCATATTGGTGACAGTGAGCCAAACAGACCACTCGAGCGTTCCTGTTTGATATGAGCTTTCTACAGCTTGTACAAAGACCGCCTCTCCTGCCTAGCAGGGCTCCGTTCGGTCTTTCGGAATCCCTGCTTGCCAAACAGCCCATAATGCCTTGTGGAAAGAAGAGTCTGCTGCTTTTTACCAGCTTCATCTAGCAATGCGAATCAGCTTCAGGGCTGGGCATTTTGCATGAAACTAGGGGAGGGATAATCAGGCCTCTCAGATTGTCTCTAGATCTAAATCTGCATACACAGCATGTGCTGAGGCGCCCAACTATTGCCTCTTCCCCAGTAGCTAAGATTCCCCACAATACAAGATGAAAATTATGAACATTATTAATAGATCATATAAGACTGTGTGATTGATTATTTAGCTCATTTCTAAGTTACAGATAAGCCATCCACTGAACAAAAACTTGTATTTGCCATTAACAGAATGTAGGAAATTCTGATTCTTTCTCTTGGCTACCTACTTTGAACTAGAAATCACACTGATCAGTTGATCACTGATTCAGATAGGGATAAAGAGTATACAGGTATATACAGAACTATTCTCTTTTCCAACTTTTGCTTAATTCTTTCTCTCCCCCCCCTTTTTTGCTAGCACCTAGATCTATTGTGCACAAAGACTTTTTAAAACAAGCATTCGGCTTGCTTTTGCTTCCCATGCGTCACTCTCCTTTTCCCTTTCATGTGGCATTTTATTCTAGTGACATCCTTTTTATTGCAGAAATGATAAATTTACATGTAATGCATTTTGTATTTTGGAAAAACAAGTATCATCCTCATATCTTGGACACTAACATCCAGCATAAAATGTTTTCACGCTGCCCGTAGAACAGGCTGTTGGTCCTAACAAAGTGACAAACAGGTTGTTTGCCCTTATGGAATCACAGCAACCTTTTGACTTTTGTCTGACCAGATCAATGTGACTTCCTCACATTGTGCTCCTAGGAAAAAATAATTGATCTTGCTTTAAATACTGTGGAGGAAGTAAGAACACTAGTATCTTATGGTTGTTTTATCGCTTACAGTTGTTTTATCACTTTATTTGTGAAGAGGTGGGGCATGACAGTATCCCAGTTCCACTGTGTTAATTTAGCTATTTATGCAGCTGGATGGATAACTCCATGGTTTAGGTATCTGTTTGCAGAGCCAGAGATTAGAAATTTGATTTTCCACTGAGCCTTCTGAGAGAAGAGCTAGCCTATGTAACCATGGGCAAGTTCCATGATCCCAGGATGCCCTCAGAAGAAGGAAAATGGTGAATCACTTCTTAGTATTCACTACCTGGAAAACCCTGGAAAGGGTTGCCTTGGTCAGAACTGGCTTGATGGCACACAATCAATGTTATGATAGCTTACCTAATATGCACACACAATCAATTTTGGCCAGTAATGACAGCAGACTATGATGAAAAATTGCCAAAGTCTGAGGAAGTTATCTGTTCCCAGATACTGTATGTCTATATGAGAGCTATAAATACATCAGGAACAGAAGGCATTGATGACTCTGAAACACTGCTTTCAATATCTATCAAACCATGTTAATGCAGATGATATAAGCAGATGCATAGATTATCTTAAATTTTCAAAATGGCAGGAAGACTTTTAAAAAATAATACTTTGTCCCAATCGTAAGGATTTATCTAGCATTACTGCAGTGTTCTGAATTATACAGCGTGCTCTGCTCACTTTGATGTGCCATTTCCCCACAACTATATTTCTGCAGAATGACTCATTTTTCTTCCTAAATTTTATTGTATTTTGACTCCACTACAAACCACATGCAGTTTAAACATAAGACTCCAAAACACACAAACACACTTCTTCTTCTTCCCAGAGGCATCAAACATTACTTGCCAACTAAGCTAGTAGAACATTATGAAGCTTAATATTGTCCTGCTGCTGTTGCAAAAATATTGACCCAAATCATCAGAACAGACCCATTGAATCAGAGGGGCTTACACAAGAGTTGACCTACCATTCAGCAGCAATTGATTCAATGAATAAACTCTAGTTTAGGCTAGCAGTTAGAATTAGGCCATGGGGCGGATGCTCCAGGCAAGTGTTTTAGCATATACACACACGTAGACACAAAAAGTCTTTTTCTCCTTCTTACCCTGTCTCTCTCGCACTCTTGCTTTCCTTTATACAGATTTTGCAAGTATAATCTGTCATCCTTTTACCAGATCAGTGTGGTCATTTCAGCAAAGCCTGTCTCAAAGAATTGTTCATCATGGAAAACAACAACAATCTTTTAAAAATATATTGGAAGAATTCCAGACTTCCGTATTAAGAGGAGCAGTTGTAATTCCTGCAGGATAAAGAATGATAAAGAAATCAAATGCTCTAATCCTCCACAAATTTGGCTAACATTAAATCTAGCTACTAACCATCTGATATTTCTTCTCCCAAATACTCCCAGTAGGATTTTAAAGCTGCCAATTAGGGCTCCAGGGAGGTGCAACTCAACTCAAATGCTGCCTGAAGCTTGCCATGGTCCACGTGCCTAGCTCCTCTTCAATTCAGGTTGAAGGGGGGAAAAATCCTCAATGAGAATCTGTTGCTCCAGATTAATTATCCATCACAAACTAAGCTATAATTTAATCAAGGCGCTAATCCTTTCCACGGCTGTAGCACCTTTCATCCAAAAATCACATGAATTAGTTAATGGAATTCAGAATATGCATGGATGGGATTCATAATAGTAGATTAACATTGCTGGTGAGTCAGCATCATTTTCAAAGGCAGATGAAGGAGAATTCTTGAGAAGGCTAGCTATCCTCCTATCTTTACAGACAACCACTTTATAACTCATTAATGCACAGTTATTTCTCCTTTGAAGTTAGAAGGAAGCTAAACATCTTTCACAGCAGTAGTACTTTCTACACGAAACTGGGAAACAGTAGTGCTTCCTATGCGGAAACTGTGGCTGAAAATCTCTTGCTTAGCATATGAAGTCACAACTAGAGTATGGCAACTGGAATCAATGTAACCTACTCAAAAGTGACTTACTACATTAAGCAATAGGATTTCATCCCATGATTACTAGCACTAAACACGGAACATTTTATTCCTGCAGATATACAGTATTTGCTTTCTCATTCCTTGTTTCTTAAATTCTGATCACACAAATTTGACTATAAATCGTGGTTCAGATTGCATTAATTGCCTTAAATGTCCAATACTGGATGGTTCATCATTCATGCCTCCAATACCCCACCAACTCATCCAGTAATCACAGTACTTTGCAAGTTGGTGCTCTGAATCTTCAGTTAGCAGAGTGCAATATCATTACCATTTTGCATCCTGTTATTTAGGTTCTATAGCAGAAATCCTTCTCTCTATCTATCTATCTCTTGGTGTTTGTGTGTGTGTTTAAAAGGGAAATTGCAGTGATTGCAAATGCTTCCTAATTTCTTGGCAATTTTTTCCATTTGTTTTCAGGAATATGTTTCCTGCCAATCTTGTTGAGGCCACTTTTAAACAGGTGAGTTTATGAAACTCTATTAGTTTAGGTACTACAGAACTGTTTTTCAGATGAACAAAGAGTAAACAATGTTAAGCAAGAAAAGGAGATATGTTTGTGTGTGCTTAATAGATAGATAGATAGATAGATAGATAGATAGATAGATAGATAGATAGATAGTAGATAGATAGATAGATAGATAGATAGATAGATAGATAGATAGATAGATAGATAGATAGATAGATAGATAGATAGATAACCATCACTTTCATAGGGTGTTGGCCAATATTTAATTCTTTTTCATTGTAAGAAAGGCAACACGGATCAGATTTTAGCAAATAGTTGTTGTGATAGAGTGCTTTAGTTTCAGAATTGCAGACACGGATCAGATTTTAGCAAATAGTTGTGATAGAGTGCTTTAGTTTCAAAATTGCAGTACAGTAATAGCATATGGGCTTTGTTTTTAAAAATCTGTTTTGCAGTGTGTAACACCAAGAGAAGCACCATAACTTGGTGCTGATGTTGAAGACCACATGTTGCAAAATAGCTCAGCTTAATCTGTGACATCTTTAGGGGAGAGTTTGGAAAAACTCTTGTCTGAAACATTTCTAGAGAAATGGGAGGCCTGGCTTTCTCAATCTAGCAGCCCCAAGATGAGCCCAATGGCAGCCAGGATAATTTCACATCACATCTAGAGGGCAGCAGATTCAGGAAGACTGGTGTGGAATATGCTACAGAAGTGAGCAACATGGCCTTAATATATTGCCCATTGGCTGTGCTGGTTAGGATTAATGGAACTAGTTGAACAAAATTTGAAAGGTACAACTTGCCCGTCTCTGCCACAGTGAATTGGATGGACTAATAAGGTGACTTGATATAAGGCAACCTCTTATCTTCTATATAATCTATATAAAATATGTGCATCCTTAACACTGTATGGATGTAGCATCAAATACTGTAAACCTATACTATCTATGACACACCATGTCTAACAGAAGGCTTGATAAATTTCCCGAGTTTGCTCATTTTAATTTAATGTTTATCCATTATGACATATTTATTATGTTTTTCTGATGCCGAATCAACCGGCTGAAGGACCTTGCAACATTAAAAAATTTTATTTCATAAAGACAACAATATAAAACAATCAACCAGAAAAACAGGGTGAGCTGCTGCTGTTCTTGCTATTTCATGCATACAACTAACGTATGCGATAGAAGGAAGCCCTCTTCAATTACCACAGTTCAAAAGGCAAGGCATTCTATAATCTGGGTACAGCCACTAAAAAAGCCTTCCCCCTTGTCCCAGTAAAATGTAATTCCATTTTCAATGAGACTTCCATCCTTGATTGGCATAGCATGACTCTATGGGTAATAATGTATGTGGCAAGTACCCACCCATATCCTTGCATCTTCTTTCCTGTAGGACTTCCAAAAAGCAGGGAGAGGGAAATGTCAGCCTATATGGGCAAGAGACCACAGTATGTGGGTGATGTGTGGCATTTGGCTCAGTGGGGCCCAAATTATGTAGGTCTGGCTTAAAATCAGCATCCTTCATAGCTTGATCCAGCTTAACTCATCAGGTGCTGGCGAGCATTTCACAGATGAAATAACGTATGCCATATCATGGGACTCACACCAAGGATCACTGCCTGAATATGTATACCAGTTGCTCCGCCATATTGTTGCACATTGCTAAAGATTCCTCCTACCCTTTGTTCCATCTATGGCCTAAATCTAACTGCTAGTCCAAACTAGAGCAGATCCATTGAATGAATTGCTGAATGGTTACGTCCATATACTTATATTGTCAGTATTGCAGGGCCCGGTAACCCTTTCTCATTTCATAAACAGTTGTGAAAGCTCAACTTGGTGCCAAGGGCATTAAAGGTGGAATTTCATTTTCACTCACCAACAGAAACACAGCAGTCTGTTTAACAAAAACTGGATATGAACATGAATTAAAACTCCATAAGAGGATTCAGGTAATGTACCAGACAGAGGCATGTTCTGTCCAATTAAATCAAAAACAGCACTCAAGTGACAGAAACTAATTATCTGCACTGATGGTGACCAACATACTTTATAGAGAAATGTGCGTACTTAGGTCTATCCTGAATGTGTTAAGTAAAAGGGACATGTTTGATCAATTCCTTTTGCATATTTGGAATCCCTTTGGAATGTGAGCAGCCTTTGAGAAGGGTTCTCAGTATAATTTATAGAAGTTATTCCTAACTTAAGCTAGAGTAATTTTTTTAAACTTTGCATTTATTTAACGTAAGTCTACCCAAACCAGTGAGAATTACTATCAGGTAATGGCACATTTTGACTGTGGTGTAAGTCACTGGTTCTTAACCTTGGATTACTCAGGAGTTTTGGACTGCAACTCCCAGAAGCCTTTACCACCAGCTGTCCTGACTGGGGTTTCTGGGAGTTGCGGTTCAAAAGCATCCGAGTAACAAAGGTTAAGAACCACTGGTGTAAGTAATCACAACAGAGGTTGTATGTTTTCAAAGAAATATGCATCATAATTAAATTACAACTGTATCTTGTGGTTTATGGAATGGAACATAGGAATCCTTAGACCCTTTACTTCCTGTGTTTCATGTACTGGCAATTAATATTTACACCGCTACAGTTTTTTACAATAGTTTTGACTTCACTTGAAGTTCAGAATAATAGTAATAGGTATTGCCCTTATCTAGCCTTTGGATGTGGTTTTCTACAAGGTGGCAGCCATATTAAAAATTTGAAAAAAGGTTTGTTGAATGTCAGTAGAAAAGAAAACAGTGGCCAAAATCTATAAATTGTGCCAGAGTAATTATGAAGATATCACCAACAGGGGAGATTGCCAGTTAAAGATCTTGTGCTTTGATCCTGGAGTTAGCATGATTTGCACACAGTGAAATTGATGGTGTGTGTCCTAAGAGCCACAGGATCAAATGAGAAACTCTTTCATTGCTGACAATCTTCCCTTGCCAGTGACATCATCCTCCTTACGCCAGTGTAATCTGCACAACAGGATTTTGGCCAATGTGTTAAATACAATAACTAGCCTCATCTAGAGTTGGACCACTGAACTGTTGGACTTAAGTCAGAATTTATGCAAGTCCCATTGATTTAATAGGTCTGTTTTGTTTTAGATGAACAATTGGAATTAGCCCATATTGTTTGTGCTCCCAAGTGAAAATATATTTGTGTGGGGGTGAGGGTGGAAGGAACAGTTAAGTGACTACTAGCGGTTAGTTGGGTACCAGAAGATACTTGGTTCAAATCTCAACTCAGTTGAAAAGCTACCGAATCTCTCAGGCAAGCCATTCTTCATTCTTGTTCCCAAGGGGTAATAATAGTAACCTTAAGGCCAAAGTGTTTCTTAAGAAAGAGGGATAGGAGCTTGAATGTCCACATTCCTTCCATGGAAGGGCAGTTTGTATTCATAGGAAACAGTTTTTCCATTTCCTCCTTCCCTTGTTACTTCCCTCTGCCCCTCCCTTAAGAAACCTGCTCTTGGTATTTGTGAGACCCTTAAGAATAGTATGAATGTGAGGTGTATTCATGCGCTCCTTATATGAATGGACTGATCACTCTTTGAGGGGAGCATCTATCCTCTCTCTTCTCTGTTGTCATTTTCTTTACATGGAAGATGGTGCATCTGCAGGGGTGTCCAACTCAAATACTGTATAGGTTCTCTACGTGCATACATGTGAGCAGGAACATCTTTTCTGCAGACAGAAATGTAAAGCTTGACCTCCTTTTTCCTGCTGGCAATGCAGGCGTGATGTTGTGCAGCAATATCAGGCCAGGCCATTTCCTGACTTTATGAACTTTTGTGCAGGCCTGGGAGGCAGGGCTGCAGGTGAAGGAGGGGACATGTCACTAAAAATTAGCTCACTCTCACGTAAACAAAAGAGCCACTTTAAATCCAATTCACTGTCATCAACCCATGTTCCCCGCTGATTCTATCCCTTCTCCACAAAAGCTCATCTGGGGAGTATTTATCGTTATTATTTATTGTTATTGTTATTGTTGTTGTTATGTCATGTCAACATATATGAATTGGCAACACAGATTGCTCTGAAACTCTGTATTCTCTGGATGGGGGCAGGGTGGGAAGAGACAGTCTTGGAGGGCATTTTTAGGCAGAAATTGATGAGAGGTTTACTGTACTCCTTCCATTCTGAAAATTAACTTCTATAAATACTTCCTTGCTCCTTATTCCACATTATATGGAAATTGTTCCATGTATCCTTCCAAATGTAACAGAGATGACTTCTGCTCTTTCAGTACCGAACCAAAAGCATCCCTATTGTCAAAGCTGACAAGTCAGCATCTGAAAGCAGCACTCGCCGAATCATAATCTATGGAATTCAGGATGAGAATGGATCCAGCATCCAAAATTTTGCTTTGGATATCACACCACCACCGGAAGTGATTTACAAATCAGAGCCAGGCACCAGCGATGGCATGAATGTACTGGGAATTGTAATATTCTCTGCTACAATGGGTAGGCATTTGAAATCCATTCTTCAGAGATGCTGTTGCAATTAATCTCTTTGTATCAAATCCCTGATGTCATTCCCATCCTGTCCTTTTCCTTGGTTCACTAGAATGCAGAATGTCTACTAGCAAAAGCATGGCTCACAACATACAAAATATAAGCAATGCACTGTCACAATGTTTCTGGTTATCTGAGAACACTTTTGCTTATCCTTTGTTGCCTGTCTTTTTCTGACTTCTCTGCATCTTATTTTTGCTTTGTATTTTGCTTCCCTTGTATGCTTTCCTCTGAAACTCACAGAGTAGCAGTGAAATTCATATCAAAATGTGTATCAGTTTTTATATAGGTAGGCCAGTACATGGAACCACTTAACAAAGATCACAGTAAATCTGTCTTGCACCACTGAGAAAGCTTTATCTATATGACCAGATGCTTCCAAAGTCAAATCTTTTCTGCTGCAGGAGGCAAAAACCCAAGAATGAGATATTTCATTCTTGAATCACGGGGAGACTTACTAGAGATAATACTTTTTCTTAACAACTGAGCAGCAGATGGCTTAGTTTGGAATTAGATATTAGAACACAAATATATTGGACTGAAATATCCTGAAACTTAAATAGCAGCATGAGGATTATTAGAGAAAATCCCCCCACATATATGCACATTGGTAATTTAAGTTTCTCAATAGTATTTAATTAGGAGCCTTGTGGCACAACAGTTAAACTGCAGTACTGGAGTGAAGACTCTGCTCAGGACCCGAATTCAATCCTGTGCTCAGGTGACTGGCTCGAGGTTGACTCAGCCTTTCATCCTTCTGGGGTCGGTAAACTGAGTACCCAACTTGCTGGGGAGGGGCAATGTGTAGCCTGCATAACTGAATTGTAAACAGCCGAGAGAGCTTTAAGCAGTATGAGGTGGTATATAAGCAGCACAGTTTATGGACTGGGGAAAACTCATTCATTATGAAATATTCTTTCAATGAATCTGGCCTATCAAAGACAAATGGAACTAGGTTGTAGGTAGGAATCCACTTCTGTGAACCTATCATGTTGTGTTTTAAAGTGCCTACTTTCTTTCCAGTTTGCTGGTGACACAATTCTTGTGGTTGTTGAAAGGCTTCTCACTTAATTCAAGCCTTTTTCAAGCAAGACGAAGTTGTGGCTAATTTTTATAAACATTGCCAAATTCCAGTCATGTGTGGCCAATTCATAAATATTGACATGACATTCCAAAAACATCACTCAACCTTTACTTTAGGTTCAATAAAGTAGTTCTCAGTATGTCCTGCAGAGAGCAGTGGAATATTTAACTAGGTTCACACACTCTTTTCTCGTTCATTTTAGTACCAATTTAAGTATTCACCAATCTGAATGATGTGATTTATATTTAAAACATAAATTTAGCTGACACTGTGTTTAAACTGTTGGATTCATGTGTTAGACATGGAAGAGGGGCATTACAAGTTTTAAGATATCCTTTTATTTTTAAAAAATATTGTAATGATGTATTATTTAGCCTTTAACTTTGTTTCTTTTAATAATGTGATCTGCCTTGGATCCTTTAGGAGAAAGATGGCATATAAATATTTTGAAATAAGACAAATAAATAAATTCACATCATCTTGACAGGAAACTTCAATTTGTTGAACAAATACGTTAGCAGGGAACAAAAAACGGAAAGCCACTTACATTGAAGTACATCGTGAGATCAGTCAACTGTTCTTACTTTGGGTAAAGAGCTACTGTATAGCACACTGTCAAGTGAACTGTGTCCCAGGAGTTCATGCATGCATTGAAAGACACATGAAAAGTATGAACTGCTGGATAGCTCAGTGGTTTAGATCACTGGTTCTTAACCTTGGGTTACTCAGGAGTTTTGGACTGCAACTCCGAGAAGCCTTCACCACCAACTGTGCTGGCTGGGGTTTCTGGGAGTTGCAGTTCAAAAACATCCGAGTAACAAAGGTTAAGAACCACTGGTTTAGATATCTGGGTGCAGAGTCAGAGGTTGTAAGTTCAAGTCCCCACTGTGCCTCTTTGACAGGGGCTACACTTGATATAACTCTGTCCCTTGCAGTTCTGAGATTATATGAAATATGAGCTCAGTAGTAGAGCACATGCGTTGCATTATTCCAGATCAATTGTGGCACATAGCCTCCAATCACGAAACAGCAGTCTCTGAGACCAAAATCAAGATCATCCATACAGTCATATTCTTGATCATTATATGGATTATAAACTGGACAATGTAGAAATCTGATAGCAAAAAAATCAATTCGTTTGAAATGTAGTGTTGAGAGAAATCTTTAGGGAGACCACGAGGCACCAGAAAGACAAGTCAATGGTTTTTTAGATCAAATCAAGTCTGAACTCTTACTAGAAGCAGAAATGAATTAAATTAGGCTGTTGAATTTTGGACATATTCTGAGAATATAAAATTCATTGGAAAGGACAGTCATTCTAGGAAAAATTAAAGACAAAAGGAAGAGTGGCAGACCTAATTTAAGATGGATTGATTCAGTAAAGGAAGCCACAATCTTTAATTCGTTTCTTGAACAAACCTGTAATGGTAGGACCTTTTGGAGGTTCATTAAGTAGATGTTAGAGGGGAACTGATTTTCCTCTTTTGCTTTTAATAAAAAAAAACCCACACTCTCCTAAATCTGCCTTTTCTCACTGTACTCTGAAACTGGCTTCAAATGCTGAACTGTCCTCAGTTTTCTGCTAGCTAGAAGCAGCAATCTAGTTCATAAATCATATTGTGGAGCTGCAATCTGAAATTTATGCTTAGATGAAGATTAACAGGCATTGGCATGCAATAGTTGGATCTGACAGTACATCAGCTTGTTCCCTGTTAAATCAAGATTAGTGTAAGATCTCAAACCTGGCTTACATCTGCATATGCTAGTTTGAAGCTCATCTTTTGGTCAAGAGGCATTTACTGTAAAGAAAAGTCTTAAATATATCCAGACTATAAAAAATCACACTGCCTGAATAATTCTCAAATGTACCTAAGTATCCTCATGATGAAATGGTTCTGGAAGTAACTGTATTTTTCCTCACAGCTTGAGACATATAAGTTTGGGAAAGCCTAAACTGGCTAGATGTGAGACCTTTCCCTCAACGGTGTAGGAAGGCAGGTTTAAGAAGATCCCGAGGGAACAGAGACTCTGCCCTTGTGGATCTGGTGAGATAGAATCTATTGAGCATATGATGCTCAGATATAACAGTCATAACAAGATTCATGGAAAATATATTACACCTCTCTTAAAAGACATGATAAGCCAATCAGACTCAGACTACTGTAACCAATTGTTAATTGATCAAAATCAGACTACTACAGAACTGGTAATGAAATTTTGGGCGGCATGCCATAGTAGCCAGAATAGATAGCCAAACTCTTAGACATTGGTTATATTTTTATATTTGTAGTTTTATTGCTTTTTGTTTATTTGATTTGGCTTTTTGCAGTATTTATTTTATTTTTTATTTATTGGACTTATATACCGCCCCATAGCGCTACAAGCACTCTCCGGGCGGTTTACAATTTTTTAATTATACAGGCTACACATTGCCCCCCCAGCAAGCTGGGTACTCATTTTACTGACCTCGGAAGGATGGAAGGCTGAGTCAACCTTGAGCCGGCTACCTGGGATTTGAACCCCAGGTCGTGAGCACAGTTTTAGCTGCAGTACAGCATTTATGTTTATGTCAGTACTTGAAACTCTGCATTCAATTTTGTTTTATCTACGGCTTGATGCTGTAGCAATAAAGTATGTATGTATGTATATGTGTAGTCATTGTTACCATACACGTTACAGTGTAATATATGAAACAAATAATAATTTGCAACTTGAATGAATATTCTGGTCAGTATATATTTTTGATTCCCATTATGTATTCACATATTCACTCCAAATCTTGTATGGAAGAAATGGGTTGGAATAATAAATTTGTTGCAGAAGGGAAAGATTTGAGCATCTGGCAAGTGATTGTACCTGTCCTGGACTTCGCTGATAACTTAGTATGTCCCTAGTTCTTTAGGTTTGATATACAGTGGTGCCCTGCATGATGACAACCCCACAGAAAGACAAAATCGCATGACGATGACTTTTTTGTGATCGCTATAGTGATCGCAAAATGATGTTTCCTATGGGGGATTTTCGCTTGACGTCGATTAGGTATTTGCTTCGCAGGGCAGCCATTTTAACAGCTGATCAGCGCTCAGAAAATGGCTTCCCCTATGGGCAATCTTCGCTGGCCGATGAGGTAATTTCCCCATTGGAACACATTAAATGGGTTTCAATGCATTCCAATGGGGAATTCTTTTTCTCATGACGACAATTTCACTTAACAGTGATTTTCCTTGAACAGATTATCGTTGTCATGCGGGACACCAGTACATATGACTCATACCTCAAAACATGGCAAGTATTCGGGCAACCTGAGGTCCCTTTTAAAAATGCCTTTCCCATCTAGATCGTACATCCCACAATTCCACAGTGCTAAGAAGGGTTGCAGTGGAATGGAGCTGCAAGGGAGAGATACTCTTCTAAGATCCTGTCTCATGCACAAAATGAAGTTCCCAAGTTGAGAGTACAAGTTTTGTTCCCCTCGGCTTCTTTTGTCCTGAGAAAACAGTTGTGTTTTCAGGAACCATTTTCTTCTTTATTTATTTAACCTTCAACCTGAGTGTCTTGCAAAAACACTTTGTTTTAGGATAGTATTTTGATGTGTGCATTGCAGCCCACGCAATCCCTCTTTTTCTAATTCAACCCATAACTTGAAAATCTGCTGCCACCAACCTCAGCCCATTCTTATAGGTGGAATACCTGTTGAATAAGCAGGGTCAGCGCACTGTACAGGAAATGTGTAATAATACACACATCCTTTTTAATAGTTTTGGGAACATGCCATATTCTTCATTGTTATTTGGATAGTTTCTCTGTTAATACCTGACATATCATGCATTCTTGGTTAATGTCTGCTGAGGCTGCCAAATCAGAAAGTCATGTGCAAAAAGTTAGGATGCAAGCTTTTTCATCTAGATTTTCCACAAGAACGTGGACTCAGGCCTCCATGTATACATCACTGTCATCCTGTAGTCATAAATTAGGTAGAAAATATAAGTATATATAGTAGAGAAAGGATAAATGGCATGTTTGCAACACAATCCTCTGTGTACCACCAGTCTACATGTTCCATCCATCCATTCATACTTGACTTTTATACACAGGAGTCTGTTGTAATGTATTAGGTAATAGATTTGAAACTGAACAAGAGGACATAAGATATTTTATCTACTGTATTTGCAGGAATAATGCTGGGCAGGATGGGTAGCAGTGGAGTTCCTTTGGTCAGTTTTTGCCAGTGCTTAAATGAATCTGTCATGAAGATAGTGGCTGTTGCCGTGTGGTGAGTAAATATGGCAAAGATAAAGGCTGGGCAAATGAAGACATCTTTCAATGTAGGTCTTCAACAGTGAAATGTCTTTGAGTATCCACGATGACACCAATGTGGCTGGTGTCTCCACCAGTGCAGATCACAAATATTCCATGCCATCCTTGTGTTCATAGTTGCTTGTCATCAGTGTGCCACACAGTCTGCTGATGAGCCTCTTTGTACTTAGCTAAACGGATGTGGTTCAGCGGCCACACTCAAAAGGTCAACAGCTTGGTACACCTACAGTAGGTGTTCTCTTGGCATAACCTTCAAAAGCCTAGGGATGCCAGAAGGAGGTATTAGATGAGGGTCTTGTGGAAACACAGTGCAATAAGGCTGCCTACACTTAATGGAATGGAAGACTACAATGGATTGTTCATAAAAGGGTGGAAACATGTATATTCACCTTGAAAAAGGCAAAATCCAGTATATCGCAGGAGATTCTGGGTCACTGTGAAGTAAAGCATGTGGAATATTGACTGTGCCATGTTGCTGACCTGTGTGAAGTGAGATTAAAACCTAAAACAGCAGCCACAGCTTTTTGGTGGTTGCATGTAGAGGGTAAAAGTAATGAAGGACAAATGATCAGCAAGGCAAACTTGTTCACCATTCCTCAGCTTTTTATTGTAGCTGACATACTTCTGTGGAATCCTTTGATTCTTTGGAACACCATTTCAAAATCCCTTCTGGCAGCCAGTTTTCCTATTATGCTGAAGATCTGCGGTAATTCTGCAGCTCTGATTTTTCTTTTTCTTAAATGTACTTATATGTACTAATGCTAGGATACTACAAGTATGATCATAGTTTTAGCCCTGTAGTCTGTGGGTTTAGTGTTTTAAATGTGGACTGTAAGCAAAATCCCACTCCCTCACAAAATGCTTTAAACATCCTTGTATCTTTTTTAAAAATCACCTCAATATGCATCTGTGTGAAATTAGAAGGTTGTGGATTCAGTATTAGCTACAGATCCTGAGGGGGGATATTAATCATATATTCAAAGTGCTTTTTCTGCAATAAAATGTGTAGTCTTCCAAGAGTCCATTTTGCTTTGCTTTTCTTTTTAATCAGAGGAATAATCACACATCTGTTCTATGTGTAATCTTACCTCAGTATTTCTGGAACTGGCCACTGATACAGAAAATGGAGTAGCTGCAGGGGGACATGTATTCTCCATATCACTTAACCTCCTTCCAATTTTATCTGGATATTTTCACACGGAATATATCTTCTATGTCTCTTTCTCCCCTAGGTACTTTCCATTTGGAATAGTGTTCCTTATTGCTGGTAAGATCTTGGAAATGGATGATCCATCAGCTATTGGGAAGAAGCTAGGCTTTTATGCCATTACTGTGGTTTGCGGCCTGGTAGTGCATGGACTTTTTATTCTGCCAATGATGTATTTCTTCATCACCAAGAAGAACCCCATTGTCTTCATCAGAGGGATTCTTCAAGCTTTGCTTATTGCTTTGGCCACATCATCTAGGTACAACACAGTTTATTCTATGAATAAAACATTGGAGCAATAGCTTCAAAATTATTGATAAAGGAATCACTGTCAGAATTTGATCTCCCAGGGGGACAACTTGAGAAAGCTGTGAATTATGTTATCCCTCTTCTATTAAATAAGACTTTGGAGGCAGATATATTTTGTCTGGTACTTATGAATAAAGTCAGTTTTGCCTCTCTGATTTTGACTCTGTACTGAATGTAGGATCTATACAAAAGGTTTCCTCACACTTGAAGTTCATGTTGATGTTACCCAAGTAGTCAAAGTACTTGGAGATTTTTGGCTTGTAACATGTCTGCTTGATCCTTGTGCATTACAGTTGATATAAACTGATTCCACATCGTCAGGAAAGCTGTAAACATGGTTGAGCAGAGAAAATTGGTTTGAGTTTCATTGAAGTTGACTTGACATGAATGACTTAGTGAATTAAAGAGCAGCATCTAAATTTTTTGGCAAATTACTCGTTATGTAATGACAATTCAGTTCTTATTATGATAAATTCTAAAATAATCAGAAGTTAGCTGCCTAGTTCCCCTTCACTGTGGTTTTCACGTAGGTGTTGAAACAAAGTCCTCATTTACTTCTGTGGGCAAATTATGTTGGAAAGAAGGTGGAAACGCTTAGTGCTGCTAATTTTTCAGGATCATTCAGCGGTTTCAATATCCATAGCAATCCTTCTGAATCTCTGAGAGGAACTGGCTGGTTCTGCAAGGGGTGCACTGTTTTTGTTTCTTTACTTGTTTTTTGAGATGATATGCTAGGCCTTTCTCCATCCCATGGGAATTATCCAGCATAATATTCCACTAGCCAAAATTCCAGAAGAGCTGGAAGTTTGAACAGGTCCTGATATTTATCCTAAAGTTCTGTCCTGTGGTATGTTCCTTGAGGTACTACCCCATATTCATATAACATAATAGCTCATCTACAGATCAGTCCTACAATCCATATTACAAATGAAAAGTATCCCATACTAGTGCAGGTTTGCAATTTGACAAAGGGTTGCTAAAGCCATTCATATGTCTTCAATATGTAAGTGGTAAATTGTTGTCATATAGGGACATTTCCGCATCCATGTAAAGGTAAACTTCCAGTAGATGAGGTGGTCATGCTGATGCAATGGCAGAGCATAAAAGACATAAGAGTGTCACTTAGTTGTGATAAGTGTAACACTCATTTTGCTGGCCATATTGAAATGAGTGAATGCTGGACCTGATTGTGGGGAGAAGGGCGTGCCCTCATGTTTTATTTTTTTTAGGATTATTGAAATGAGTGAATGCTGGACCTGATTATGGGGAGAAGGGCCACAAAGCAGTGTTTTCTACTCATGAGCATCTGTATTAATGCATGCAAAAAGAGCATTACATAATATTCATGTTAAAGGCATGGTTTGCCAGTAACCTTAGAGAAGAACTGAGGGTTGGATTTAAGCACCTTGCAGAAGCTGATTATCTATATCCATTTCAGTCTGGCCTCTCCTTTAGCATTAGGTCATAATATATATGGTAGCAGAATCTGAAAGACTAGTTCTCCTTGATGCTTTCCAGACAGTGACTACTTGCGGCAAAGTTTCCTCAGTTAGTTATTTAAACTGCACATAGACCTGTAGAAAGAAGGTCAACATAATATATATAACTGGTCATTTGAGTTTGAGAGGAGGTACAGATTCTAATTTTTGAATGGCGTGCAGTTCATTCCTTCTGAGAACTAGGTATGCGCCAAACTGAACTGTAAGACAATTGTCACGTGCAAATTCATCATGGCTGTGCCATTTCTAGACTTGAAGGAGCTTCAACAAGATGCTATCTAAGTGCATTTTCTTTTACCTTCCCTCCTAAGTTCAGTGGGTTCTGACAACACAGTACGCATGACTAGGAACCACCATTTTAATTTTCTACAATTCTGCTGATGTAGCATCGCTTCAGGATATTATGGGCAGTTCAAATAGTGACTCCCAGTTGCCCATCATCTTTTTAAAAGGCCCCCAAAACGTCTTTTTCTGGGCTTAAGCCATTGCCCAAGAATGTGATGTGTTTTGTCTTTTAAAGATTCCACAAAATCTGAGGCAAAAGCTGTGATCTCTTATCCTAAAAAACTGTCATTTTGTACTTCAGTAATCTCCAAAAGACGTTGGCAGTTATATGAAGATAATCTAGAGCTGGATCCTCTGACCATGCCAAAGAGGGGTTCTTAAAACCAGGCAGTGTTTTTATTGATGCATTTTTATAACAGTTTTTCACTCTTTTTTATCTACTAGTTTTAATTTGATACCTGTTTAATTCTTTTTAAATATTGTAATAATATATTGGTTTCAGTTTTTAATGTTGTCTGTTTTAATATGGTAAGCTGCCTTGAGTTCTCTTGAGGAGAAATGCAGGATAGAAATATTTTTAAATATGTAGGTACGTACATATATACTTTATGGGCCACCAAAATGGCTCTGGGAGTGGGGTGGACAGCCATGGCTCTCCAGACATTTTTGTATAGATGATGGTGAGGGCTTGTGGAACTGCCAGTCAAAAAGCATCTGGAGGGCTGCTAGTGTCCACCTCTACCGTAGTATAAGGATAAGTACCCCAATGTCAAATTCTGCCTTTAGAGCCCTTCGGAAAATTAATCTGCCATAGAATTTTTTTTTAATTTAAACCTGGGATTGTTTTAGGCTTTATAAGGCCTTAAAAAAGAAAACCACGCAGAAAGTGCACAGCTGATCTGCCGTAATTGGATGCAAAAACTTTCATCACGCAGGGAGGCCTGGTGACTCTCAGTGGGTTGCATTCCTACCTAAGCATTCTAGCAGTTTCTTTATGGGGACTTACGTTGCGGGACTCACTGTCATGTCAGACTTAAGTCTTGACTCAACCCAGACTCAGCTCAGTTGTTTTTTTTTTATAAAGTCAAGCAGACTTGACTCATGACTCTGAACCCACCCACCCCTCCCTTTTATCTGGGGAAAAAAAGCTTGTATTCAGTAGAGACTCAGAGTTGGGGCTTGGGATTTGAGACATGGTGCCGAAAACTCAGAATCGGACTTGGTACTTGATACCAGAGACTCAGACTTTGGACTTGGACCCAAAGATTTGCAACATCCCTGCTTTACACACTTCTTAATTCTATATTTCAGGTGAATCACATTTAGTTACTTGATTATGAGCTTGTGCCCAGCATCTTTTCAGGAGTATCTCGTGACAGGAGAGAGAACTTAAATTTTGTTTTATCATTAATAGAAAACCTAACCGTTTACATGTGTTTCGTAACTTAAATACGATACTAGAAAACTACAGAGGCCACACTCAGCCTGTGAAAGTGGCATCTTCTCTGAGACAGCACATGATGATGACTTCAAAATTCTGAGAACCTCAGTTTCTAATGTATTTTTGAAAATAAAGCAAGGTTTTGAATATCTTAATTCTGCTCGTCCAACATAAAGGTTTCTGTGCTCTTCCTACAGTTCTGCCACTTTGCCTATTACCTTCAAGTGCTTGTTAGAGAACAATCATGTGGACAGGAGGATTGCCAGATTTGTACTCCCTGTGGGGGCAACAATCAATATGGATGGGACTGCCCTTTATGAAGCAGTAGCAGCTATTTTCATTGCTCAAGTAAACAATTATGAGCTGGACTTTGGACAGATCATCACCATAAGGTAAAAATGTCATTTTTAAAGGGGCTCCTTATGTTTCAGTACTGGACATCTTCCTGCAGCTCTAGTACTGCAAACTTTGTTAATGCGTAAGAATTTGAGAAGTTGTTTTAAGAGATGTAAGTCTCCTATAAGGAGAGGAAGAACCACTAATTAGCTGAGATATTTGGTCAGAAAATGATGCAGTCATAGGCTCAGTGGCTTTGCTGCAGTGGTTTCCCACTGACCAGTGAGAGACTCAAAATATGCTCATTTAGAAAATGTTGTATGTGTATTACACTGATTTTTCCATTGTTTCTTTTACAGGGAAGCTGGAAATCATGTTCCAGTTAAACCATACTTACTGTCATTCTGTTTATTTCTGGTGGCCAAATGTGAATGCCGTTGCGTACTGTATGTTGTCAAATGACAGCACTCATGCATGCATCAGAAGTTTCAGGAACTGAGCATACTTAAGGATGCACAGATTAGTTATAGGCAGTGTGAGGACAAATACTTGAAAAAGTGAGGGAATAGTGTGTCTGAAATCCTGAATAGGATCACTCCACACTGCCATCTTTGAAATAGCGTCTTGGATGTTTGTTTTAATTGGGGGCACTGGAAACAAAGCAAAACCAGGAGAGAAGCAAAGTTCTCAAAGTGTTTCTGCCTGTTAAAATGCCCAGTGGATTGTCAGAAATAATATAATTCCTTTGTCAGGAACAAAATGGTAAGAAGTTTGTATACTCTTTGAACTAATGAGAAGAATAAATACTGGCACTTTAAGAATTCTGATTTTCCCATTTTCTCTCTGCCAATCTCCTGTAATTAAGACTGAACTCATTTCAAATGAAAACTGACAGCAATATTTATTTCCTGCTGTTCTCGCTTAAGCCCAAAGTTGGGTTGTAAAAAAATCACACTTGATCCCTAGAATTAGAGTGAAATCAGATGAGCATTTAGCCAATGTTTCATCCGCTGCAGGGATGGACAGGTTCACTCCTTTTCCCAACGATTTGATTCACTCCTCATGACCAAATGGCATATCAACGTTCATGTCAATTAAGTGCTTTCCCTGATTGTCTGTAGACAGTCAGGGGAAGTGACATTAATTTTTTATGTCTGCTAGATGATCACTGATGCAATGAATCACTTAGGTTAAATTAATATATTTTTCTTTGTCTGTGTATTACTGATCAAAATTCCATCCGCATCCGCAGTTTCAGTTGGTAAAACACAGACATTGAAGTGTTCAGTGCTTGTAACTTCAGAATACTGGAAGTTGACACTGGAAGGAGCTGCAAGGCTCTAGTTTAGTCCATTCCAAGCAACCAGACTCATAGGGAATAGACTAAACTAGAGCCCTCCAACCCGCACCAAAATAGTATAGAACTCCCTGACAGGTTCAGAAAGGTGTGGGTTGGGGCAAATTGGCCAACTCCAGCGAAGTTCATGTATTGCTTATGGGGGAGAAAAACAGACCAACCTGACCCATTAGCACACCAAATAGCAGGATAACTGCCCATGTGGACAGGCTGTCAGTGAAACCTGGCTTCATAATAACCTCTGTAGATTCCACCAGCTTCTAACACTTTTAAAGATGTGTGAATTAAGGGACACTAGATTTAGTGGATGACTTAAACTCTTATTTTCACTTCTTTTGACAGATGCTCTTTGCAGCTATGTTTTGTAAATCCTAAAAGACAAAAATAAAACAAAATCATAGTGAGGAATATGTGCCAGAGATCCTACATGCTTCCACAGAATGTCTGGGCTTTGGAATGGAGATCAAATAGACAAGTTTCCATAAAAACTGGGATAAATAAATTATCAGCCTCAAACAAACAAACAAACAAACAAAAACAAAACCCTCCATGAAACATGGAGATCTCTGGTTGCTTTGTTCCTAGATCAGTCATTCTATCATTCTGACTGAATCAGACTAATCAGCTTTATGCTGGACTGTGTTCATGCAGCTGTGATTTGTATTTTCAATTCTGGTGCATACTGGGAATTACCGCTAAGAGCAGAGAGATTCCTGCAATTAGTGTTGATGCAATGATTTGCCTACTTTGATACTTAAGGTCATATTAGATCAGGCCTGTCCAACACGTGATCCACTGAGCCCATGAAGCTGAATGTCACTCCTAGGACTTCAGCATGTTACAGTTGATGGCTTGCATTAAGCATGATAGGTCCTTGAGTTAATAATCTCTGGTCTCTTTTATTTAATATTATATTCAAACCCTATCTTCAATAGGTATATATATACCTATTGAAGATAGGGTTTGAATATAATATTAAATATTGAATATTAAATATATATATTCAAACCCTGTCCATCTCAGAGGTTCAAGACAGGTTAGCTATAATCATGAAGGAAGACTGTAATCCAATATAAAGTTAAGTGAAATGAAATCTATTTCAGTGGGCTTAAACATTCTTAACTTAGTGCTGGCTTGTGAGTCACAAATAAGGCCAGAGACTTGGAGCTTTAATATACAGATACAGGTCAAAATTTTAAAAGACTCTCGCCATTTTTATAACTGACACACAAAATACCTGAATTGTCAGGGGCTTCAAAATGGATGAAAAGACTGTTATGAGCATCTTCATACACAGTAGACATCAATGGCCTAAATACTGTTGCATAGTGTAGTAAATTGCACTAAGAATAGACCCATTGAATCAGTGGGGATATAGAGAGTCTAACTTCTCCATAAATTCCATTGGCTGAAATGGGCCTACTCTAGTTGCAACTTTAGTGTAGGAAACCATAGTTAGATTACACCAATTTGAACCAATGGAATTTAAGGAGGAGTTGACTCACCAAATCCCAGCTGATTCAATGGACCTACTCTTAGTGCAATTTACTGTGCTAAGCAGTCAGATTTTGGGCATTGTTTGCTCTAAATTGCAGTTTAATATCAAGAATGTAAAAATCTGCCTTGGCTGGAGTATATCTGACAATGCCACTCTGTTATCAGATTTTGCTACTGGGGCAAGAAGGAAGTGCATGTTTCCTTTCAGGATATTCCAGCCACTTCCTGTTTGCCTAAAGAGGCTTCCTATCTGCACATTCTGAATAAACTTGCCTTTCAATTTACTGTGATTTCTGGCAGACAGTTACCACACTGGGACTTATATAACCTGCTATGCAAATAAGTGATCATTCTAAGCAAGGACATGTTGATTCTTGGAACTTGACAAGTTTCATAACACTCCTGGCAGTAGCCAGGGAATGTCAATGGGGTGGGGTGGGGAGACAAAGTGTTAATTGTATGAATGTAATTAACATGTAATTTCTGTTATGTAAATAGCAGCTGTGAGGAAGCTGTGAGAGACTATGAGGTGAATTAAATGCAGAAGACCTTAATTTTTGTTTTTAAATAGGGCACTACTTTATTGATTTATTGTGACAGCTTATGTTGAATACAGTAAACATAGCCAACCCCTCTCCTTCCATACAGTAACAATAGCATTCTCCAGTTGCTCACTTTAACTGTAGGGAGGTTCAACTGTTTATCTCCCTGCTATGATCCTGTCAGTTACTACCTACATGAAGCTGTTATCTGCATTTCAGGAAAATACAAACAGCAGCTTTTGAATAAGGGTGCATTTTTGTCTGTTTGCTTGGACAGGATCATAGTATGGTCAGGAAGAGTTATTTCAGTTTAGCAGTGCCTCCCTCCCACCATTCCAAAGATATTTGGACTTCCTATAGCTGCTGTTTACATTTCTTAAAACTTGCATTCTGTTCACACCAGTGATGGCCATGTGGGCTTTAGGCCAAAGCTTTAGCAGGGGGCTACTACTGCTACCTATGAAAGGGGTACAAGATTTGTCCATGTGAGCCCTCTACCTGTATGCCTCTCTAGTTCAGATTATGTTGCCCATTAGGCTAAACAATTCTATTCCTTTTGAATGACCCATATCCTTTCTTAGTACTGTGAACCTTGCTACAATAGATGGATCACAGGTGTGAATGTCCACCTAAGTTCAAATTAAAACCTATGAAATGTTTCTGACAGATAGTTTGTACCAAATGCAACCATGGTCATTCTAGACTTGAACAGCATTGTATGTTGAATCATTAATAACTTTCTGCTTTTTTATAAAAGTATTACAGCAACAGCTGCCAGTATAGGGGCAGCTGGGATTCCACAAGCTGGCCTTGTGACCATGGTTATCGTTCTGACTTCAGTGGGGCTGCCTACGGATGACATCACTCTCATAATTGCAGTTGATTGGGCATTGTAAGTAACTGCCAACTTTTTTAGGTTTTTCGTCCATCTCCAGGTCAAGCTGATTGTGTGAGGATTGGACAGCACCGTTCATAAACCCCACAGGGACCTACAGGTCACTATGAGCCAAAAAAGAGAGTAGTGGATAGCGATAAAAGCAATACTGTAGCTGACCAATGGTTTTGCTGTCTGTGACTCAGTTCTTCATTGGTACAAATGAAAAATATTAGCATGGTCTTACTCAATAAAGTGGAAAATACATCTGTTCAGGGCACTGTCTCCAATGGTGACCAAATACATATTATGGAGTTATTCCAAACAATGTATGATTGATGGCAGCAATCCTTTGATGTTGATTCCTGAAATCTTAAGATGGTGCTCTTGGAAAGTCTTTCTATGGCCTCTGTGACCTTGATGCAGTGTTCAGTGTTGTGGGGATGGAACTGGAGGTGGAGTGCAACACATCCCATTGTTTTCTGCTTCTTCACTTGGATTCACCCCCCACCAAGCTCCACAGGCTAAGAACTGCCTCAGAGCTGATCAGCAACCTGTACTTGAAAGAATCAATCTTCTGCCATAGTTAAAACATTGGGCCAAATTAGGAAGGACAAACTTAATTCACATGTTCACTTATGTCATTATAAAGCAGAGTTTGATCTTTAATTATCAAAAAAGACAGAAGATACGGGTGCTGAAACAGTCCATATCATTCATTCCTTACAGTCAGTTTTTCCTAGTTTTAGTACATGAGGGAAGAGCAGAGAAAAGAGAGAAATGGTTGAAATAGTGTATGGACTCAGGAATAATCTGGTAGGAGGTGGAGGGGTTTAGATTTCTGTCTTCTGCTTTCCTTGTATTGTAAGATGCAAACACATGCCACTTTAAATGTGAGGAGCGCAAATAGGTTTGGTAACAGCATGTAGAAATAGAGGGGGTAGCCTAATCATGTTCCACAATTGTCCTTCATACTGGATGACTCAGAATATATACAGCATGCTGGAGGCTACATAGTTTAGGGAAGATACAAAACATACCACATACAATAGAATTCTTCTTTTGGAAGGCACAGTGGGGAATAAAACTCCCAAACTCTGGCTCTATAGCCAGGTATCTAAACCATCCAGCCTATCAAACCAGCTAATAATTATGTTAAAAACTGATTTCAACTTATGTGCCTCTTGTCCCTTAACATAACTGAACATCCCCCTCTCCCCGAAGACACTCTGTTTATTGTTCCACTTTTGATAACCACATAACAGTTTAGCTGTCAGTTTTGATAGTGGGAGGGTTGGGGACTGTTGGCAGAACAAGATATGATGGGCAAACCCATGTATTTAGACACATGTCCATGTTATGGACATGTGTCTAAACTAAACCTGGACAGTGCTGATTTTGGCCCATTGTTCAGTTTTCTAACCCAAACATCTGGATGTTCCTGAATTTCAGTTTTATGACCACATCAATATATTAACCAATAGTGATTCAGTTTTCAAATGGGCTTTTTTGCATTTGAAAAATAAGGAAATCACATGATTCATTTCAAATTTAATGTAGCCCTCCAAAATGAACTTGGCTCAGTTTCAAATAACATACTAAGGGTAATTCCAACTAATACACTTGCCCTTTCCCCTTAATTTTGTGTCCTCCAAATCAATTTAAATCCTATAGTTTAAAATATTTCCCTTGCAGTAGTGCTCTGAGATGAGAAAAGTACAAGTCACAAAGGAATTGATTTGAGGTCAGAAGTACAAAACATATTATAGGCAAAGAAAAAAAAGTGGCAGATATATAACTTTAAAATAAATATAAGAGCTAACATAGCAGCAAATGATAATAATGGAAAGTGATCAAGCTATTTGCCAACCATACAAAAGTTTATCATCTAGCTTCTTGTCTCATGTTCTTCTACATATATCACCCACAAATGTCTACCCTCAACTTCTTTTCCAGTCAGAATCAAAATATTTTCTAATCTCCATCTGGATATGTTTAATGACTCCGCCTGCTTATGCCTTAAAAAAAGCACTATTTACTGTACAGTATTCTTCCTTGTTCTTCTTGTCCCAAAAACATGTTCCAGTTTTATTTTTAAAACCTGGACCAAGATTTCTTCCTTCATTATTCACAAAAGATTTTTAATATTTCTGGATCGAAGGAATAAGAGGATTTCTTTCCTTCTTTATAAACTTTTAAAAACTGTTGCACCAGATTCTTTATTTTACAAAATTAATTCCAGATCAACCCACTCAGGGACTCCTGTTGCCGATTAATAGAATCCAGAAACCAGAAGCATAATGCTTGTTTTGGGGGCTGGGTTCTATTTAGGGAAATCCAGAGACGATTTAGCTACCCATCCACAACCCAAATCCTTTTTTTGCTCCATATTTTACCACATCCCACAAGGCATGGCACAATTTAGGGAAGATACAAAACATACTACATACAATAGAATTCTCTGTCTCTCCGTTTACTTTTTTGCTCATTGAGAAACAATGCAGTATAAGGAGGTCAGATACAAAATGAAAATAGGAAAGAACAAGCAATCATAGCATAAAATCAAGGGTTTCTCTGAGTTAACAATAGCTTACTGGAGTGATCCACTTTATTGCTTTTTGGCACCATGCTTTCACATCATAAAATTGGTTCATGGCCTTCTGTGTTGGCCCAGTCTAGGCTGATGTGAAGATATACAAACTTGTGTTGAATAGACGACTTTATTCATATCTGCTATTATCCATGATTTTCTTGCAATAGCCAGTTGTTACTTCATGATGTACTTTTAATTTTCTGTGTTAGTACAGGAGAGATGTTTAAGTCTGAACCTTAACTAAGAAAGAAAATTTCTTCCTTTGACAGAGACCGATTCCGCACAATGATCAATGTCCTAGGAGATGCTCTTGCTGCTGGAATAATGGCACACATCTGTAGGAAAGATTTCACCAAAGATGCATCTGAGGTACACACAAATTATTAAGACATTCTGTGGGAAACAGGGATAGTTATGTCTAGTGCCAGCTTCAGAGCAAGATGAAAAAGTGGGTTGACATTATGAAGAAGACAAAGGATCCAGATTGCTCTTTGCATTCCAGCCTTTCATGGCATATGGGTCCTCAATAGGTGACTAACCATGTCAGTCCTTTATGCTGGCTCTGGTTATGTCAGTTTCTCATAACCATTTTATGTAATAGGTTAAACCAGCTTAGCTACCTACATGTTTTGTATGTTACGATCAAATTATGGTCTAAATATAGAAGGAGATGGGTATTCTGAAGTATTAATAATATTAGTCAAAATCTTGTATCTCATTCATAGGTGCCTTTGATCTGTGAAACAAAACCTATCAGCATTCATCAGATCATGGCTTACCAGAGAAATGGCTGTGTAAAAACCATGAATGAACCACATGGACCTGAAATATCAAAAACATTGCAACATCACATACCTATTCAAGTGGAGCAAGAAGCAAACCCCACAGAAACGCATACAGAGAAATCCTGCAGTAAAGACCACTGTACTATTGAAATCAATGAACTAGAAACTAATGTATAAGTGTTATCCTTTATGCTATAAGGAGCCTAATGACTACCTCATAGGTGGAACCAAGGATCAACCTTTTGCCTTGAATGGGAAACCATGGAATGACTGCCATGAGAGGACTGAAGCTTTGAGGCCAGCTGTGAACATCTGTGAAGATGGGACACTACACAGCATATGTTGAATGGTTGTTGTAAAGGGAGCAAATCATTGGACAATGTTGCTTTACTCTGAGCAGACTGACATTCACGTATAATACACTTTTTAAAAAAGATCTGTTTAAAATGATTTTATTTCACCTACTGTTTTAGCTACAGAATGAACTTGCCATAACTGCACTCAAATCTTAACATCAAGGAATAAATACTTTACATTCAGTTAACATGGCAATATGAAAATAACTATATCCTAGCAAGTGAACAATGTATTGTTTCCTATTTGGAGGAGGGTCACATTCTTATAAACCTTGCAAAAGTTAATGTTTTTCAAATAACTGCAGCTCACTATATCTGAACCAGAGGGCAGTGGCTGGTAATAAATAACATAGTTACCTGTAACTAGTTACTTTTGGGGTAATGAGAATCTAACTAAATAGGTTGGGAGTTTGATTCCCCATTGTGCCTCCTTTACAGGGGCTGGCCTTGATGATCAGGGGGTCCCTTCCAGTTCTGCAATTCTGAGATGATGATGATGTTTCAAAAGCAAGTAAACAAATGGTTAATCTTTCAGGTTTTATGCCATTCTTTTATCAGAATGCACAGAATGCTATTAAATACTTATATTATCAGACCTTAATAACAAAGAATACAATGAATTACTTTTACAAGCAGAACAATGATAGTGCCAAGTTGCCTGTCTCAATGTAGCAAGTAATGCAATGTTTCTTTTGGAAAAAAATAAAGCTCTGCTCTGAACCAGGATAAATTATGGTTAGTGTGAATTATAGATCATTAAGAGTAGCCAGTTTGAAACCATATTTAATCATTCTAACTTCCTTCTATAAACTATAATTAACATTGACTACACTTTCTGTTCTGGGCAAACCAATGAACAGTGATCAGTTTAAAACAGAAATAGCTTACAATCCTCTTCTTACAGCTATGGAAAGAAAACAGAGGGTGTCGTGCATGAACCCAAAGCTTGCATAAGTAATGCCTCATTGTGGTTCAATGTTACATGTGCAAAGTGAGACAAACTTGCCATGAAACAAATTACTCTTGGTTGCAGCTTCCCACTCTATAGTATCTCGTAGTCTGTTGAAATGTTCTCTATGTGTCTAACATACCAATTTCATTGCAATTAGCCACTCAGAGTGGTATAAATATACCAGATGGGCGGGATACAAATCAAATAAATAAAATAATAAATAAAATATGCATCTCTGCAGCTAAATTCTATTCTTTCTTGTCTTGAATCTCTATGTATTGTGATTATGATCACATAAATATTGATAATACACGAAACAATGTATATATTAGGAGCCAGCAAAACTTCTTCATTTTTTTAAAAAAATTGCAACCAGTACCATTTGTTACTTGGCTAGTTCTTTTTTTAAAATTTTGTAAGATTTTGAACGTACCATATGTGTTGTCGCATACACCGTTGGTTTCCAGTCTTTGGCCCTCCAAATATTTTACACTCAGAATCCCTGGCCATTGGGCATGCTGGCCAGAGACAGTTTCTAGGAATTGAAGTCTAAAATACATGGAGACTGAGAACCACTGAATTTTATTACTTTTTTGGGACTAATAAGAATTACTATGTTTAATTAAGGTTTATGAATTAATTGTAATGAATTAATTTTAGTTAATTAAATCTTTTGGAGGAAGTTTCATTTTTGAGACTCTTCTCAAAGAGGCATTGAGCCCCAATCTAGAAATATCATGTTTGCCTTCCAAGTGCCAGACGCATCCTTCTTTTTCCCTGTTTCTTTCTTAAAAGGTTTTGCTCTCTAACACTTAGTCTGCCCTATGAGAACCTAAACACTCAAGAACTGGTGCTAAAGAAGAGTATGTAATGCCCTCTCATTTGTGTGGACTCTGTATGTATTACAATATTTATTGGCCCCGTTTTACTATTTACTAATAACTTTTGTGGTCTGAGAGCACACTAAGCATGGGCTGGGATCCAACATGTATGGCAATGGAAGAATTTCCTTATAATGTTATCCTCCATTCCATCAAGATGTTCTTGCAATTCCCATCATTGAATCTAGGTCTCTGGATTAATACACTTGCTTCCACTCCCCACCCTCCACATACCTAAGGTACCCTGACAAGAGTTCTTTCAGGTCTAGTTCAAGTATCTAGACCCGCATTTCTGTGCTGCTAATATGGGAATGGCATCCCTTTGAAGTTAGAACAGTGTGAGGGATGAGAGAGACAGAGTTAGCACTTGGACTGATCTCAGTGTCTGTTTGGTTGAAGGATATTGCTGGAGGCCAAAGATTCCCCTAGCTTTGAAAGTTGTGTTGAGAACCAAGGTTCCTTGAAATTTATTAGCAAGCTAGAACTTTACTGGCTTGTGGTTGGGCCAATTACTGTCAATGATGCTTCTACTGAAGTGGTTGTAATAAAGATAAAATGGAAAGGGGAATCATGGGCTGCCTTCCTGCAAACAAGCTATGTCAGTCTCAAGCACTTAGTTCCCTTCATCAAATTTCAATATAAGCGCTGGATTCTGAGGTTGTGTATCTATCTCCCATGCTGCAAGTTTTTGAAGAAGCTGTGTGTTCTGCTCCAGGTCAGTGAGAATCTGGCTCCTTCTAGGACTGGAAGTTATTCTCCTTCTCAGTGCCTGCTTTGCAGAAAGGATATCTGCCATGGAAGATGAAGTTCTGTCCATTTTGGGTTTGGCTTGTGGATCTATGTGTCTCTGTGCATTCTCTTTTTCTTTTTCTTACATTTAAACTTATGGTGATCATTCATTACTCTGGCATCCCTGCCTTAGTCCTTCATTGGAAGGAGGGGGTGACGCTCTTGTCACTCCTTGAGAAGAGGTGGAGCCATTTGGAGAAAGGAAGGAAATAATTATATTATCACTATCATATCTGTGCAAACCCTGGCTTCTTCTTCTTTAAATTATAATATAACAAGGCTGGACTATTTAAATGTTCACTTTCTCTTACTCTCTTCCTTTTTTCCTCTCTCGAAATCCTTAAATTGTAAAGTAACTCTCCCTGTATTAATGATATTACCAACTGTATTATGTATTTATTACCAGTGTTTTCGGTGGAAAATGTTTTTAATAAACATGCCATTGTGAAAATTGGTTGTCTGTGCCCTGTTAGGATCAGATCATTTCTTATTTTGAAGAGATTGACTCAATATATTCAAGGGTTTGAAATTCGGTAAATTTTCTAATTTTTCTATATTTTGAATACTAAACTGAAACTTGTACAGTGGTGCCCCACATGATGATGATAATTTGTTCGCCTGAAATCGCTGTACAGTGAAATCATCGTCATGTGAAAACATTTGCCCCATTGGAATGCATTGAAAACCGGTTAATGCGTCCCAATGGGGAAAATACCTCGTCATCCAGTGAAGATCCTCCATGGGGCAGCCATTTTGCAAAGCTGACGATCAGTTGTAAAGATCGTTGTCTTCCGAATAAATAGGCCGTGAAGCACAGACTAAATCGTCGTGAAGTGGAATTCCCCCATTGAAATGCCTGTTTTGCGAATTGCTATAGCGATCACAAAAAGTCATTGTCCTGCGGTTTCGCTGTTTAGCAGAGTCGTCGTCATGCGGGGCACCGCTGTGTTGTGATTATGAACTCTTTCTTACTGCAAAATTCAAAACTGAATGCTTTGAACAGCATGACATCTTGATTGGTTTGGACTTGGCATGGCATGAAATCCAATAAGTTGTCTAATGTGATAGAGAATTACAAATGACAAAACACTAATAAATTAATACTGTTGCATCTGAGCAATAAAATAGTAGCTATAGTAGACCCAGTGGGGATTTGGCGAGTCTAGTTGTGACCTCTTTTGGCTGATTTATTTATTTATTAGATTTATACCCTACCCATCTAGACAAATAGTCTACTCTGGTCGGCATTACAAAATTTAAAAACAATAGAACCAATGAACATGCAAAAATCCAAGATTAAAAAATGTAAATATTAAAATACAGCAGGAGGGGAAAGCCTGCCTAAATAGTCATGTCTTAAGTTTACTTCTAAAGACACCCAGAGAGGGAGCCAGACAGATCTCTACGGGCAAGTTGTTCCAGAGGCGAGGGGCCACTGCTGAGAGGGCAGTTCTTTCCTTCCAGGCCTCCCTCGGCATTAGGCCCCTCAATCGCCCAGCCTGGCTAGAACAAGTGTCTCTAGCAGAACTGGGTGGGAGAAGGCACTCTGTCAGATATCGAGGTCCTAGACCATTTAGGGCTTTATAAGTAATCGTAAGGACTTGGAAATCAATGCAGAAATGAATGGGCAACCAATGCAAGGCAACCATCATGGGGGAAATATGTTGGTGCCTCTTCACCCCAGTTAGATGTCTGGCCATGGCATTTTGTACCATCTGAAGTTTCCACGTCAATCTCAAAGGCAGCCCCACATAGAGTGCATAACAGTAGTCTAATCTTGAGACTACGAGCGCATGGACCAAAGTGGTGAGTGCCCCCACATCAAGATAGGAATGCAGCTCAGTCACACATGCCAAAAGAGCCCGAGTTATATAATTTTTTTCCATCCCTTTCTTGAATCAATACATATTCATATGCAGTCACATGACATATATATACTGCTGGACCTTGTGAGGGTTCATACATAGCCTCCTCGTCTTTTCCAAATAAAGTCGGAGTCATTTTTAAGGTTAAATCAAAACTTGGGTTTATTGAGTCTTTCAACTGTAATACGTTATTTAACTGTTCCTCTGGTAACTTCTCTCTCTGCACCAACGGGTGACGCAAGGGCCACCAAACTTCAGTATCAAAAGAGTTCAATGATTTGTTCTCCCATGGCCTGGGTAAAAAGGGGCCATTGTCTTCATTAGGGTGTCCTCTTTCTTCATCCCCTAATAGCGGAAGGGTCTCTTCATCTCTGGCTTCTCCCCATAAGGGCTTCCTTTCTCTCTCATAGGAATCCCATGGTCCTGGAGGTATGCCCTTCTCTGTGCCTCCTCCACACGCCATGCCTGGCACTCCTCCGCTTCCCTCCCTCCCTACCACCTCCTTCTCCTCTTTCAGCCGTCGCTTCCACTCTTGGGCCTCCGACTCACCCCCGTATGATGGTCTTTGGGGTAGTCCCCTCCTCTGGCTGTAGTCACCTTCCTCGCAAGGCACCTTCACCTTTTCCCATCTCCCTGTCCAAGGGTCTTCCACCCAGATTAGTTCCCAACCACCTGGG